AATCACAGGGAGAAACTTTCAACGCTAAGAAGTAAAGTTAAATTTGCAGAGAAACGCCAGTTACACATTTTTTAAAAGGCCAGCATTCCAAGAGGAAGAGCAACGCAGATCATAATTCCTCATCATGCGAGATTCCTATTTGATTAGCGCGATCAAGCATCATGAAAATTCTGACAACCAAATACGATACTAAGCAAATCCTAAGTCCCTTTTGTCCAAAAAGTACCTTCCTTTTCCCTAACTCGAGCCATATCTGTGGCTAATTACACATCGTATCGATGGGGCCCGGCCGGAAAGTGCGCCTTCAAGAGGCGCTTGAATTTCAAGCGGCAACTATTCAAACACGACTGTCGACAAGTTGCATATGCAAAGCTTTGAAGGAAATATTTCCGCGGCGTATTCATGAGCGGGTAGCTGGTAGCCTCCTGTTCACTTTGAATCATTCGATCGCTCTGCGCTTAACACTCATCTTTCGCATGAGCTGAGCAAGAATACAACTTACAACTTCATCACCTCCGTTTTAATTTTTAAAGTAGGTAAATTACTCTCTGCTGACCTTTATCATTAATTTAAAATCGAGACGTAATAAAAATGTTTCATTTTCACCATGAAAAAAAAATGCCTCTTTTAATCCACAGAAGGAATGGGCTATTTTGTGGATACGACACCATGCCAGCGGTGTTTCATACCACTAAAAGTTCTCTGAATTTTCCTAAATTTGAACAAGAGAGGTGTCGATGGCTAAAGAGCAAGATCACGTATCTACATTTGTGACGCTGTAGACTTCCAGTCATACTTTTTTTTTTCTTCTGAAAAATAATCAACGTAAATTCTTGGAAGCTTCCTTGGTTTTTCTTCTCTGTCGGTAGAATATATTCTGTGTAAACTTCAAGCTATGAATCTAACTTTTTCCTCTTCGAAGAACTGAACTAAGAGCGGCGATTTTGGAACAACGCAATGGAGATACGTGGTGTCGCGTTTTAGCCATCGATATATTACCCTAGAAGAACCGATGATCACCGTGACCACACTCTGATAGCCATCGATGGAAGCATCAACAGCTTCCGTTGAGTATCATGACGTGACAATGCGAGAAACAGTTCTCTGAAAAGGATGTAAAAACTTTTCTACCGTTAACGCGCTATTCTTTCATGGGTTACTGGAAAGTCTACACTGCCGTGCCGAGGAAAAACACCGTATGAGCCTTCAGGCGTTGCCAAATTTTCTTTGATAAAATATCGATTTCTTGGTAATCTTATGAATATTTTTCTTCCAGTTTTAGAGTAAATTTTGTTCACAACGTCACCTAAATTTTCTGAAAATTTCGAGGCAAAATATTAAAAACTTTCCTCATAAATAAACATTTAATCGAAGGAAATTTGGCAACTCTTAAATTTTTAAACGGCGTTTTTCCTTAACTCGGCAGTATAACGGCTCCCTAAAAACAAATAAAATGGGAAAAACAAAAGATTCGAGCGAGTTTAATATCGTCTGCGCCTGCGCGCATAAATGTTTCCCGTCGGGAATGGTCGCCGTCATTAAAAATGGTAGGGGAAGGGCTTTAACGACTGGGTCAAGGTCAAATACGGGCTGAAACGAAATCCTCCAGGAGTCATGAACGTTTTACGGCGCGGTATAATCAATTACCATTGAGGTATGGCAGCCGAGAGAAAAGCCAGACGCATGCTGAACTCATAGCTCTTGCACTTCCTCGAGAGATTCCCACCGAAAGGTTAAACTATCTGAGCCTGCGATCTTCGTCAATTAATGACACTGCGATTAATTGTTCGATCATGCTGGTTTTTGTTACTTGCGTTTCATTCATCGCAATTAACGTCTGCAAAGAGTGCGGGGAAGCTACGGAAAAATATATACAAAGCCTTGAGAGTAAAGATGTCACATCAAGATCGCATGGTAACAAATCTCTGCTGTCCATTGCAAGAACGCCGTAACTCCATTCCAAATTTTGAAAATATTTTTCAGACAACATACTCCGTTTCAAGAAAACCTAGCCACCACCATGTTTCATACTTTCATTTTAATTTTCAAATGGTACACCACAGTTATTTTAAGAGTGTAAAGGATGTATGTTCGCAGCTTTCCTTGAAGTGGAACAGTTTTTCTGAGAAGAATCTGCCAAATCTGAAATGGAGATACCGCGTGTTTGCTATGGACGATGGATCTGCCAGATGATGGACGAGAATATTAATATATATTATAATATTATATAATATTATTATATATATAAAATATTATTATATTATAATATTATAGAATATTATTATATTATTTTGCATTTCTATATGAGCCACGGTTAGTACATGCTTTTGTGTCTCTAGGCTCATCCCGGAATTTACTCACTCCTCTTTTCCGTAACATGGTAGTGATAGAAACTCGCGAAGTCGCGTTGTAAAGCGTGGAATTCACCCAGATAAAACTAGATACCATGCACAAGCGTTTTGATGAAATTTTCGTCTTCCGAAATTAAACAAAATAATTTCTGAGTAAATATTAACATCTGCTTTTGTGTGGCATTTCAAATTTTTTGACAGTCGATCGTTGATTATAAAAATCCTTATGGCACACTGATCAACATGTGGTTAAACATCGATCAAAAATTTAAGATAAGTGTTGTTTGGCAAGCCAAATTTTTTGAGTCCCTAGAGCAAATGATTCCACCATTGCCATTCGGTTGGGGAATGTCACGCCAAAAAATTTAGATCCCTGATTTCCATTTGAGGTGTGACGACGATCCAGGTATTCCTGATGTGTTAAATAATTGAATCCCCCGATTGCATCAACCATCGCTGAGTAGAGTCAGCCGTTGATTTGTCGTTCACGGCCATGATGATTTCCGCTTACATTTTTCCTGCGCTTTTCTCCGAACGAAAAACTGAGATCCGATTGAGACACGAATCGATCCATTGATGGACGTGACACAAAAACACGGCAACGCACAGTGGTTAAAATTCAAAATTCGATGGCATAAAATAAAAATCAGAACAAAAATACGCCGGTGTTGCAATTTCAGTGCTTCAAGACTGATATTCCCTTCGTTTCAGGCTGTTACTCCTTAACAAGACTGGGCTCTGATACAATCCTCATGCTGACATTTTCGTCTAAACGTTATTGATGATAAACGAATAGAATCGATTAGACACCCACCGTGCGATGGCCAGGCGGGTTTTTTCGAAACAGAGTCAGGCCTTGCCAACTGGAATGTGAACTGTGAACCACGACAGCCACTGTCGATCGTTGAGTGATTCGCATTGGGCTGCGCTGCCAAGTCGTATGAAAAAACCATTAGAAGATTGTAAGAATAACGTTATAAACCTAAACTCTAATCAAAATATAATAAAAGTGGTTGGCTGTAAGGGCCACAAGCTTCGCCCGTTACAATTACTTTCATAAGTAAATTAAGACGCAGATTGGAGAGGAAATGGGGTTCATTTACCCTCCCCCAGAATTTGAAATGCGCTCCTGTTTAGAGGGTTTATAGACCTCCTCCCAACAACTTGCCGCCTCAGCAGCCCTTCCCAATAAAGCTCAGGTACAGAAGAATCTTCCACTTTCGGGGACTCGATATCTTCTCTTGGGCAACTGCCCTCAGAGCCAGCTTCCTCCTTGTTGGATGTGTCGCAGAGAATTAGTCAAATTTAATTTATGTTTACCTGTCTAGGCATACAAAGTAAGGCATGTTTGCTCTGTGAATGATACCACTATTCGAACACGTGGGAGGCCGTTTTGCCTACTTCGAAAAATGAGGGCGAAACGAGTTTCGGACACCTGTCTGCACTTACGTATGCACGATGGGAGGATTACCATAGCTCCAAGTACATTTAACGCTTATTTGCACTGTGAATGATACCACTATTCGAACACATGGGAGGCCGTTTTGCCTACTTCGAAAAGTGAAGGCGAAACGAGTTTCGGTCGCCCGGCTGCACTCCCTTGCGTATGCGCGATAGGAGGATTACCATAGCTCCACGCACATTCAACGCATGTTTGCACTGTGTGTGATACCACTATTCGACCACGAAGGAGGCTATTTTGCCTACTTAGAAAAATGAAGGCGAAACGCGCGTCATAAAATCCTACATTTTCCGTCTTTCGGGAAGAACCATTGGATGGGGAACCTTTGGGTCCCTCAGGCAAGAACGAAGTGACAAACGGGAACTCACGAGGCAGCCAGAGAGACTCAAAAAGAACCCTCAGGGCCCAGTTCCAGAACTCGGAAGGACCTTGATTCTTGATTGTCTGTCCCCATTGGAACATGGACCGATTCCCAAAGAATTCCCACAGGCCCGTTTTATCATGAAGGTAAAGTTTGAGGACGAAAAAGAAGGGGAGTACAATGATAGAGAGGGAGGTGGAGAAAAAGAAGACGACGAAGAGTAAAAAGAAGGAAAAAACGAAGTAGAAACAGAAACGGAAAGAATCAAGGTTTCAGTCCTATACCCTTGGACCATCTTACAATCAGAGGGCGGATCTTCATGGTGTGCGAGATTTCGCATCCCCTTGCGATGCATCTACCCTTATCTAACCTACCTAACCTAACCGATACTCAAGCTAACCTACCTAACCTCACCGACACTCAACCTAACCCACTTAACCTAACCCAACCTAATCTAACCTAATCTAATCTAACCTAACCTGATCTAACCTAACCTGCTCTAACCTAACCTGATCTAACCTAACCTGCTCTAACCTAACCTGATCTAACCTAACCTGATCTAACCTAACCTGATCTAACCTAACCTAATCTAACCTAAACTAATCTAATCTAACCTAGCCTAACGTCTGGCTGGATGCATCGCAGTTGGTGCAACGTCCCGAGCCCATCACCATTGATGGATGTTGCGGGTCTCGGGCTCCAGTTGGCAACGGTGGAGCACCAAGCACCGCTCGCACCGCTGGCGAGGACCGGGGCATCGGGCGGCAAGTTCGGTCTCTGGTGGGAGAGGCCGCGGCTGCTCACGCTCCACTCGGAGTAACTTTCGGTTTCAGCGCCGCCGCTCCGCGCCGCGCGAGTCCGCGACCAGTCAGTCAGTCTGCGACCAGTGAAAGTGCTCGTAACAGAATAATGCGCTACGCTCCCGCCACTCAGTTCCGCGCCTCTGTCCACGTCCCCGCGCTCGCCACAGCCTCCGTCCTCGTGTTCTGACTCCCCGCACCCGCAGCACCCTCTCTTCCCCAACGCCCCGCTCCACCCCCGAGAGGCACCCACGCCGTCCACCCCCGGAGTCAACGTCCAAATGTCCAACGGCCGCCGGTGACGCTTTTTTCCCTTCTTTTTTCAGTGCGGTGATTTTTTTCTGGTTTTCGTGTGTCACCTAGGGGTCCGGTCGTGCCGAGTTTTCCCCTGGTTTCCGGGTCGATTCAGTGGTATTTGTTTATTGCTGTGCATCAAAGTGACCTAAGGATGTATTAAGTGGGAACGAGTGGATTACATCGACAGTACGATTGCATCAGGTACGCCACCTTTTTTTTTAAATAATATTTGTTTGAATTATTTGAAGGGTTCACAGAAGCAGAGCTCGTTAATTTTACTGCTAGGGTATTATTGCATATTTTTTTTTAAAAAAAATGTATGTAAAATTTACACATAGTTGACAAATTAGTTATTTTTTGTCAAAAGTAGGGAAAATGGCATTGGCAGGTCCGAAGAATGTCGGAGGAGAAGTTCCCGAGACGACTTTTGGATTGGATACCACCCCCTGCAAGACGGCAACAGGGATGTTCCCTGAGGGAATGTCCAAGGCGTCGATACAGTGGAAAGATAGTCGCATAAGGAGTTAGGGTGTCGCAGAGCGCCAGTGTGCGCTATGAGAGTGACTTACATGTATTTTGGAAAAAAATAAAGATTCAGAATTTTTATTTTGCCCAAAAAAAAAAAAAAAAAATAAATAAAATAAAAAATAAATAAATGGGATCTTTTGCATAAAAACACCTCGGGAAAGAGATGCACGTTCTCTGTCACTAGATAAGCAGCTGATATTCCTAATGAGAGCACTGAAAAAGGTACACGAGCATAATTGCATTTTTTCGAGTGAGATATCAGCTTAACAAGTAAGTGCCTCATCGAAAAAGTCGAATATGTTGAAAAAGGCGATTAGGGGTGACCCTTACACTCTTTTCTGGTAATGAATAACAAATAACATGAATATTGATGAAGTGAAGAATTCATCTCAAAATTGAGTTTTTGAGCTGAAAATTAAATATAATGCTTTCAGTATATCTATGTATTTCTAGAATAAAAAGGTCATGGCATGAGCCGTCGTTCAAAAGAAAAAGTAAACAAAGATCTTCAACTAAGATCAAAAGAGTCGAGATGAATTCAGCCATTGACAAAAGTCTTTTTAATTGCCATCTTTCTCAGCACCAATGAATTCCTGAGCAGGGTTAAAAACCAGTGATAACAATTTTCCTGACCAAATGTTCACTGCTTACGAAATTATGCTCTTCAATCGCCAAACCGAAGTCCACTTGAGTTAAAGTCAGACAAGTCTCTAGACAAAGAATCAGTTTTCGCCAAAATCTTAAAATGAAACTCATGCCTTAGGAAACTTTGTTCGATCAGTCCATATTAGCCTACCCCTGCTATAGATTCACCTTAACCGGCGTAACTCTTCTGAGCCGATTCCAGGAAGAAAGGCGTAGGTCCGAAATTTCAAATTGAACTTAATTTTGCAATAAGGAGCCACCGCTTATGATTCGTTTTAGAAACAACATCTATACCATCCGTTTTTCCATGCAGATAGTTGATTATATGGATGAGCCAGATATCTTCTTTCATTATTGCAAAAAGTAGTCCAATTGGCCCACACTGGAAAAAACACATTGGATCAAGAGTCCAGACTCTTGAAAACATTGACAAGAAAAAATACTCTTGATTCAATCAGATTTAAGCTTAAATCGAAAGGAAATCCGCTCAAATTAAGAGTCTTGGTTCTTGATTTAAGCTAGATTCTGATTGAATCAAGTGTACTTTTTTCTCGTCGATGTTTTTAAGAGTCTGGACTTTAGATCCAACGTGTTTTTTTCCAGTGTAAAAGAATCGTACTAAAAGTTATCTCCTGAAAAAATTATTTCAAAATTTTCAAACGAATGTCAACCCATCTTTTGGACGGTCCAGAAAATTTCGGTCATCCTGCTTGACGAGAAAATCAGTTCGATGCCTGTTCTGTAAAATTCGGTTTTGTGGACTTGCGCCCTTCTACCACAAATTAAATTATTTCGAGACTCGAATGGAACCGTTCCATTTGGTTGTTTTCGAGGGCCGGCGCCGGCGGTTGGAAGTGTGACACGTCTCTATATGCGGAAGGAAGATGCCGTAATCGGATATTAACTCGCCCGTTTACTTCCTGTGCCTGGGAGCGCAGCGCCGACCGTCGGCTTAAAGTTGGGTTTAAAGGTCAAGTCCCCTGGAGGAGAGCCATTGCACAACGCCCCCCCCCCCCTTGTTTTAGACCGCAGAGCCAAATCTGGCTTGGAGCATCTTTGTTAACTGTTCACGAAGTACTGACCATACCGTGAGTGGAAAGGAGAAGAGTATTTGCGAGACATTATTGATATCGAGATGGGATAAGCGTTTTTATTCAAAGAACAATGACCTGCTTTTGGGCAATAAGCTTAAAGTTTTAGGGTCATTTCTACCCATTTCATCCATTTAACTATGCATAGCTCCGTCCCAGATGAGAACGATCCGATTCGTAATGTCAAAACTATGATGGCACCATAGTGGCTTTGACGCATAGTAGAAAAAACGCCATAATGCCATACTTTGCTCAATAATTTTTCGATTTTAAAACCGTTAGGGAACCTCAAACTTGCCTCATTTGTTGCCCGGCTAAAGAAGATTATGTTCATGAGTGAAACATGGTACCATGTTGACCTCAACGAGGAGACTTTAACGCATGAGTAGAAAAAACGGCGAGGCTTCGATCCCAGAGAACAGTTGCAGTGTGTCTCAAAATATGATTGTTGCAAACATAATTCATGGTAAAAATGACTATGTTGGTGAGTAAAGCATGATGCCATGTTGACATTAACATGGTATCGACACAGCATGGTACCAACTCAGTGTGAACATTACTCCACGTTGATACCATGCTGGTCCATTTTAGGCAACTGGACCAATTCAGAATCACTGGATACAATGTTGATATCATGCTATCGTCCAAATGACACCATGTTTCACTCACCAACATGGTCGTTTGTAACAGGAATTTTACTGCACAAGATTAGACTGATTTCGACAAATACGGCGAATATTTGCGCGAGGAGAATATATTAAGGTTATATACGGACTATCACTCCGAGTAAAACTTTAATAGTGACAAAAAAGCACTTTGACATTTACACAATCGTGGCAACCGGAAAAATTCCGCTGCAAAAAGAAAATTGTCGTTGATACATTTAAAATTTATCTTTGTGTGATAAAGCACTTTTTGAACGCTTAGAGTGTTTTCATGACGACTAGACTCTTCGAGACTGCAGTTGAAATAAAAAAACACCACTTGAAATACTCACCAATAAAACTTTTAGAATGCATTCAGTCACTCTAGACTTGCAGCTTAATTCGTCTTCAATATTTCATTAGTTATTTTGTTCATCGACGACTTAAGTCGAAAAACGCTTATCTCCGAATGCGACGTCGCAGACAGCTGCTCTTACTAAATTTGTCTATAAAAAAAACTAAATCAGTTTCCTTGAAATATTTTTTACTCATCCAAAAATATTCAAAGGAAGTTTAAAGGATATTTTTTTCTTTTTTCTATGAAAATAAAATGTAACATAAAATTAGTAAATGCTGCTATGGCGCGGAGGTATGTACTATTAAAATTTGGCTATCGATATGTTTAAACTTACTCAGCAAATACCTCTGCTACTTTGAAATAGATCTTAATGCTATTGTAGACAAACGACGCGAATGCGAGACCACATGAGAAACAGGATCAAGGATCATCTCGCCATTCGAGCTGCAGGTTTTCGTTTCTCCGCGATTGGGAAAGACTGTTATCATTCGCAATTGCAGGGAATTCGGTGAGCCAATCCACGGGATACGTTGCGGTGCCATCGTTTCACTCCTCTCTCGTATCGCCGTGTTTGGTAACGCTAAAAAATTTGCGGTTGGCGTCACGGAGTTACCTATCTCTACTCAAAAATCTAAATTGAAGACATAAATGCGCAAGCATAGATACAAATTAACAGAAATTACAGATCTTGCGAAACATTGTCGATACACTCCCTCGAATTTCATCGAAATTTCTCTACGTAGAGTTTGCACAATATCGATGGCTGAGGTCAAAAAATACGTGAGTAAAACCGTAAAAATGTGAGTTTGTAAGTCTCCGTTAGTGTTTTATATTTTTAAACTAAAAATAAACAATAATTTTAGTTGAAGTTCTCTGTGATCTTTTGAATCTGGGTTCAAAAAAACACAAAAATTTGCCAGGAAACATTTTAATCAAACCTTGAAAAAATCTCCTATTTCATTCATCCAGAAAGAAAAAAACCTAAATTTTGTTGAAAGTTTTACAATAGTTTATTTTAAAGAGAACGAAAACCAGGAAAATTTTTGAAAAAAATATGTTGATTAGTTTCCTGATTGAAAACTACATTAAGATGAACAGTCTACGGCGTTGCAAACTGTAACAGACGATTTCAAGGTTAGGTCGTCGATACGCTATTTTTATCAAGTCCAGCATGAATCTTGTTCAAAGGGGTGTGCATACATTAAAAAAGAAATACATCGAAGATGAAACCAAATTATCTTAAATCTCGATTTAAAAGTCTCTTGTTTCCCATCTTAATTTTCTTCTTTTCCTTTGCTACTTTCTTTGTTTTTTTTTCTTTGTTTTTTTTTTTTTTGTGTTCTTTTTAAGCGACGATTGATGATAATTATTATTAGAAATATTTCGTTGTTATCTTATGTCTTTTCGAAAAAATTGCCTGAGAAGATCCAGATCGGTCACACCCGGAAATATTCTGTAAAAAAGTACCAAACTTAACGGGAGCATGGAAAGCCCACGATATGCTCAGTTATTTTACATTTTTGAGGCCCGTGAATGAATGCAAAGAACACGACGGCTGATGTGTTTTCTGCAGTGTACTCTGCGCGATGTTAATCTTAATAAAAATGAAAATGGGCTCGAAACTGTCAGGTGGATTCGCTTTCAGATACTCGGACACGATCCGGCGCTAAAGTCTAGAGAGTAAGAGACTGGCGTAACTTGTAAGATCAGATGAAGTTAAAAGTTTACTCGAGGAAAATACGTAGACAAACACGCGAGCGGAAGATTATGCAACCGGTTTCGAGCTCGACCGCGCTCAGTGGGGCCCATCGCGTCGGATATTGGACAAGCTTCGTGCTTTAAACTCGCCAACTTTTAACCATTTCATTAACAATACCAAAACAAAGTAATGAGCAAATAAGTTCTGGAAGGAAATCAGATTTTCTCGAGTTCACC